TGGGTGACAGCTTCAAAGATGCATGAAGCCATCCATAAATGTGCAAAAGAATCATGGACAGGGAATTCAGAACTGCACTAAGTGCATGAAACTGGGAGAATAGAACAACTCCAAGAATCCACTGCACACAGATGGGGCTCAGCAGCTAAGTCACCCACCCTTACAGTGGCTCCAGGAAGAAGAGAGACAACACTTTCATTGATGTAAGTATGTGAATCAGAAAAATTAGGTAACTTACCCAATTACAAATCTGAAAGCAGGAATAAAAACCCAGCTCTTTAACCTGAAAGTTAAGAACAAAAACTAGCTGTTTTTGATTCCAAGGCCTCAGACTCTGGCTTCTTGACACTGAAGAGTCCTGAACAAATGATAAAAATTTTCTAATCTATTTTATCATCATAAATTAACACAGCTGGTAGAGGGTTGTATTTATTGATGACATCTAAGATACCTTTTTGCTTTTATATCCTGTATTCTATGTTGATGGCGGTTTCTAAAAATTGGATATGAACTAGAAAGAATAATGTTAAAAGGCATCATCTTCTAGATAGGAAAGGACAAACAAAAAGATTACAATTCATTGGCAAATGACTGACAAATTCATGACGGGAACTTTCAGTATAGGCAACAGTTGGTATCCATCTTGGATTGTAAGTATCTCCTGGCTACCCAAAACTCTGTATATGGTTTTAAAATCACGTTAGTGCTACAATTCTTTTAGCTATATTCCAGCAATCTCCTCCCATCTTTTTTTTTTAAATATTTATTTATGTATACAAGAGCTGGGGTACAGGACAGAGATATGGGGGATGGTGAGAGGATCCACCAGAGACAGAGTGGGGTACAGAATTTCTCCTCCCATCTTAATAAGACTTAATGATATAGCTGTAGGGAGAAAATGGAAGATGAATTCCAGAGAGTGATCAGCAAATAAGAAGATAATAAACTTGTTCAAGAAACTTAGTCTAACAAGATATATTTAGCCACTCTGAACATAGAGGTTTTTTATTTGATGCTCATACATATATCCACTAGGAACTAAAAAAAAATTCATGTCCTTAAGTTAGTTCTTAATTAGTTCTTATTCAATTCAACATTTTTATATCAATAAGAAATAATACTTAGTGCTCAATAAGTGTAAGTTCTATTTCCAGGCACTGTTCTACATATTAACATTGTTTTCCTATTTAACGACCATAATCTAATGAAATAGTATTTCTATCACTAACTTAGAAATTAGATAACTAAGGTACAGGGAAGGGTAAATAGTAACTTGCCCAAGGTCACATCACTAGAAGTAATGGTGTTTAAACACAGGAGCATAGGGAGGAGGGAAGACATGGGTGAGACAGGCTGAAAAATGAAAATTGTAAATAGCTCACATTGTCCTTACTGTTTAGATTATTGTAGTTTAATTTCTACTTAAGAGATTATTTTTGATTTGAAAGATAATTTGTGACCTCTCCATTTCAGAGTCTTGCATTGCTAGGGCCTGACATTTTTATGCTTCTTATGATACTCATATTCTGCACTATGTTGTATTTGTGTTCTCTCCCAGTGTACTGCAAGTTCCTTGAAAATGGGGCTGTATTTTGTATCATTAATTCCGTTGATTTTAAAAGTAGAAGATATTTAACAGAGGTTAAATAAATAAGCACTTTTCCTCTTCTATAGCTTCCGGGGGGCTTAAATAAAATAGTTTTCAAGTCTTTACTGGGTAGGGCTGTTGTCACTCATGTATTACTAGGATTTTCTATGTTCAAAACACGTTTGGAGCACTCAAATTACTAATTTTGGTGGAAATACCCTTCTAAAGTAAAAATCAAATATAATTCCCCTGGATAAAGCCTTTTATATGGTTCCCTATTGGGCCTCCCCTGGTGGCGCAGCGGTTGAGCGCTGGGCCTGCAGCCGGTTCCATCCCGGCCAGCCAAAAGGGTCCCTTATGGCAAGGCAGACCTCTCCTGTCTCACCCGCTGCTCCCCTCAGCAGTGTATTTCGTTGGTCTGCCTGCTCTGCTCCCCACTCTGGCTCTGGTGAATTTCTCTCACCCTCCCGCGCTACTGACTGTACCCGGTACTTGTATAAATAAATCTTTAAAAAAAAAAAAATAAATGGTTTCCTATCACCACTGGTTAAAGGTCATAGCTCATTCTCCAATCTTATCACTAATCCCTCCCTTCTCAAACCACCAAATTTCAAACCACCTGGACTTCCCCAAAGGAGGAATATGCCAGTATACCTTCACCAGGTAAACACTTCCTCCTACATGGAGACAAGCTCAAATTCTCTTTTCTAAAGCCTTCTTGTGTTTGCAGCTTTTATTTTCTATTTTTACTGTCTCCCTTACTGTACTGTAAATGTCCTAAAAACAACTTCTTCCCAGTGATACTCATCATTTTTATACTCAGGTCTGGCAAGTTGCAGTTCAGTGTTAAAGTTTATTGAAACAATAAGTTATTAAAGCATAATTCACTACATATGTGAGCAATACTAAGACCAACCCACTATCAAAAGTAAGTATTTTAGGTTGACTCCACCACCAATAATGAGTGGAGCACTTCTCTAGTCTATCTCAACCCATATATTTGCGAATCCAAGATAACTTGCACCGCATAAACAGCTAATCACGATCATCATTACCAAAGGCACAAAATACACAAATTATAAAAATCCTTTGTTTCTTGAGCAAATAATCAAACCAATAAGGTTTATTCACAAGTACTGTTTAAAAAAAAAAAAAAGAAAACAGCACATTAAAAAGCTTTGTAATTGCTACAATTTAAGCATGTGGAAAGAATTAAAACCAGACAATTCTGAGGCAGTGTCTTTTACACCTTTTTATCTGGGTTCATTCTACAACAGAAAGCAAAGATTACTTTTATAAAAGCTGCCATAACCCACTTTGTCAAAGAGCAGCTATGTCAGGTTTCTTGGAGAATCCAAGAACAGAATCTAACTTTGTGCTGGCTTTGGGGCCTATGGCCGATCATCTCAACAATTAACATTTTAGTATTCTCATATCCCATATCTCAGCCTCACCCAAATAATACACCCCCACAAGCATGTCTGGAACATAATGCACTTTAACAGGTGTTGTCACAAGGTGCAATGTGTTATGAGATCTTCACATTTCACCCCAGAATAACTAAGTCCCTACAGTTATCTTCAAGCTGCCTCACCCATGTTACTTAATCCTAGGGGGCTTTATTATCTTCATTGTACAGATGGGGAAAGAGAAGGAAAGGAAAGGTATAGGATGACTTGGCTAAAGAGGCCCAGCAAGTCACTAAAGTCTCTCATTTTTACTATTCCTACTCCTTTTTTCAAAGAACCACTGTTTTTGAGAAACTTTCAATGACCGCAGGCAGAATGCTGTAGGCTGTCCAATTAGTTATTACCTTTCACTTCTTTGTTTCAATGAATTACCTAAGTTCCTATACCTGTATGATAGCTCTGGGATATAAGATTTGATGAAATTTTTTTTTAAAGATTTATTTATTTATACAAGCACTGGGTACAGTCAGAAGCACGGGAGGGTGAGAGAATTCACCAAAGCCAGAGCGGGGAGCAGAGCAGGCAGAAGGACCGAAGTACACTGCTGAGGGTTGCAGTGGGTGGCAGGAGAGGTCTGCGCACCATGTGGGACCCTCCTCCGGTGGCCGGGGAGCAGCTGGGGATCGAACCAGAGCTGCAGAAGGTTCTTCGCAACCCAGCGTTCAACCGCTGCGCCACCGGAGAGGCCCTGCTGGATTAAGTTTTGCTATCTGAATTCCAGTTCAAAAATCTACCTCTCTCTACCTTTTAAAAATCAAGACAATTGACCTAAACTTTAACTCTATAAAGCCATTTTCCCCTCTCCAGGTCACTAATTCTTTTCAAATGTCAGCTCCTAAATATGTTAAGTCATACCTACCATTCCAGTTCAGAATCAACAAGAATGCCAGAATGTTCTCCTGTCTAAATTGTAAGCCAATTCCTCCTGAAGCATAAAGAGTTCCAAGGCACCCATAATTCAGACCTAGATTCGAACCTGAATTAACAGGGGAGTCCAGCAATTTCAACTCCAGGAAGCCCCCTCACACTTCTGATCCTCCCTCAAAGTACGCCTCTCATCAAATCTCAATTCTCTCAGCTCCAACAAGAACGGTATCAGCATTGCAGGCCAGGCAATTTGGCGATACCAACCAAGGCCCTTACAATGGAGAGTGACGACCCAGAGAGTCCAACGTTTCACGTGCTGAGAACGAACTATGCAGTGATTCCATGTCCCGGGCCCAAATGACTTGCATAACTGGAGGAGCAACACAGGCTCGAAAGGGGGCAGGCAGCTCCCAATCGGGGTTCCTGTCCTTTCCTACAAAATCCTACATCAAAATAGCCTCACCCATGCCTGCATGCACGGCCCCTTTACATGATGCAACTTCTCCCCCTTGACTTTTAACCAGCCCACGCTCGGGGTTCTCTTCCCAGGCTGGGGTCACGGGTACCCCAGTCACTCATTCTAACGCCAGCCCCTGGCGGCTCGCGCTACCAAACCCCGCCGCCCGCACGCCCCGCAGCCTCTGCAAAGGACACCGCAACCCCAAATGTGCCATCCCGCCTCCCCCACGACCCCCACCCGCGGCTCATTCCACGCCCGGCGTCACCCTCGCTCTCCATCCCGGAGCGGGTTCGGGGCGCCCCGGGCCGGAGCCCCCGCGGAGGCGCTGCGCCGAGCCCCGCAGCGCGAGGGGTGCCCAAGCCGGCACCGACCCACCTCCTCCTCCCGGCGCGGCCGGGCCAACGTCGCCCGCCTCCTCCAACGGCCGCAACCGCCGCGCCGAGCCCTGGGCCGAGAAGCGGGGCGCCGAGCCAGGTGCAGGCGCGCACCTCCACGCCCCCCCGGCCGCCCCCCCGGCGCCCCCCGCCCGCCGCGCGCCCGGCCCCGGGCCCCGCAGGCGCCGTCGCCGCTCCCCAGGCGGGCGCGTCACAATCCCCCCGCGGGGCGAGGGCCTCACCGTCGCGCCCCCGGAGCTGCGGGGCGGCACCGCCCGGCGTCCTCCACCCGCTCGCGCAGCCCCGAGGGCCCGCACCCGCGCGGCGGCTCACAGCGCCCCGCGCCCCGGGCTCCCGCCGGCCCCGCCCCGGCGCGGCTCAGCTCCGCCCCTCGCAGCCGCCGCCGGCCCCCGCAGGTCCGCAAGGTTCCCACCCGCCCGCGTCGCCGGCGCGAGCCCCAGCGCCTGCCATTGGCTCCCCCAGTTGCTAGGCGATGAACAACCGCGGCCTGCATTGGTCGGGTGGGGGCCCCCGAGTCTCCTCCCCACCCCAAAAAAACCCCGAGAAAAGGAGAACCTTATCCCCAGAGCCGGAGCGGGATGGGGCGCAGCTGCGGCGCGGCACCTGTTACGCCCTGGGATTCACCCGGCCGGGCCCTGCTCCCCGCCCCCTCGCTCGCCTGCCACCTCGGGGCCCCGGGTCGGTGGGGGAAGGGGGTTGGGGCTGCTTTAGAGCACGTGTTCCGAGCCGCGGTGAACCCCGACACACACCGTAGGGCCAAAGTGAGGCGCCCCCCCCCCCCCGAAGAGGCACGTGCGTTTGCAAAAGGGGAGAAATCAACTAAAGAGTCGGAGCCCATAATTAGGTCAGGCCCAGGGGAAGGGAGGCTCAAGCCTGGGGAATTGTGGCTGCAAAACGACCCTGGAGAAAGTTACATGTCAAAGGAGGGCTAGGAAAGCAACCCAGGCAGAAGACAACAGGAGGACTAAGAAACCGCATTCTTAAACTAGAAGTTTATGCAGAAATGTTGCACGCCCACTCAGCAAAATCTGTGCAAGGAAAATGTATGCTTGCAGCACCCGTAGCCAGGGCCAGGCAGGCTCCTCCCCTGTTCCATGTCAGCCTAAAATTCTCTCCAGGGGAGAAAAGAGGCCAAAAAGAGAAAGATCTCAGATGGTGAAAACTCAGGCATGAGTTGAGTGAGAGAGACAAAGATGTACTTCGCTGTATTTTTTAAATAGTGAAAACTAAGGGATTTACTCCAGGAGGAAAAGAGGTTTGATACTTAAAAGAGGCTCCTGAGAGCCCTTTGCAACCAAAATGTATGAGACAAGAACAAGAAATATTAACGCTGAAGAACGAGGGAATGACCCTCTCCCAGTTTACCAGCACACACCCCCGACCCCGATGGAAGATCAAGGCCGGGAGTGGGCATGTCCTGCGACAACTTCAGACTCCAGCGAGTCCCCCTCTTCTTCAGGCCCAAGGGGTGGTCAGGAGGCCAGGTCAGATATTGTTTAGGATAGGTGAATGATGGCCTAATAACCTGTTAGGGCCCCGTTATTGCAAAGATGCACTTTTGCGTGGCTGGCGGGACCAGCTCCCAGCCCCAGGATGAATCAGAGCTACCTGAATAAACCAGTGGTTTTCAATTCTTTGGTGTCAGTACCTCCTTTCTGCTCACGGGGCCTGGAAGAGCAGTTGTTTACCTGGGTTAGGTCTATGGATCGTTGCCATCCTAGAAATTTGAAAAAGTATGTTATATAAAAATGATAAGAACAATACACATCACATCTTAATACAAATAACACATTTTATGGGAAAGAACTATAATTTTCCCACAAAATAGTATAAAGTGTGTGTAGAGGCAAGTAGGGCACTAAGCAGGCTTTCTGTGATCCCATGCAGACCAAGTAAAGGAGGAGTCCTGGAGCCCTCAGTGGCTTTCGCAGGTTTTTTATTTAGATTTACCAGGTACATGGCAGGCAGGGATGCTGGGGGGCTGGGAGGCTGGCAGCCCTCCCAGCCCCCAGCAAATCCTCACTCTATCTGGGCTCTCTGGCGTTCTCTCAGCTTTTCTTCTTCTCTCGGCCTGTGTTCGTTCTTGGCTTCTGCTGGCATCCCATGACGCCGCCCTTATAAACTCAGTCTCTCAGCCCAGGTGTGCCCACTTCAGGTGCCCGCCATCAGGACCACAGGGTCTCCTCATTTATCCTAATGGCGGGAGGGCAGAAAAGCCTGATACTTTTACCTTACCCTACAGTGTGGCATTTAAAATTTCACAAATATCTTAATGTTCAGCTTAATGGAGGACAATTGGATTTTCATACGGTAAGGTCAGGAATGGACACAGGGCAGGTTTTCTATGATCCAGCAGACCGGGTAAAGGGGGAATCAGAGTCCTCAGTGGTTTTGCAGGTTTTTATTGGGATTACCAGGTACACAGCAGGCAGGGTGCTGGGGACCAGTAGGCTGGCAGGCCTCCCAGCCCCCAGCAGGTCTTCACTCTGGGCTCTCCAGCCTTCTCTCGGCTTCTGCTTCTCTTGCTTCTCTCTCGGCTTCTGCCGGCATCCCCGTGATGCCGCCCTTAAAAGTCCAGTCTCTCAACCCAGGTGTACCTACTTCAGGTGCCCACCATCAGGCATGCATTCAGGACTGCAGGGTTCCCTCATCTATCCTAACGGCGGGAGGGCAGAAAAGCCTGATACCTTTTACCTACCCTACACATACCTACTGCATTTAATCTGTTGCATTATTTCAGGTAGCTTTTGGAAAACTTCATTGTGCACTCATAAGTTTATAGGAGTAAATGGCAGGTACCATTTTAGTATTGAATGGAAAATAGTTTTGACTTTGAAGTTTCCCTCAAAGGGCCTTGGGGATCCTCCCCAATGATCTAAAGAGAACCAACAATCTAAACCTGCCGTAGTACTCTGTCCCTCTTTGTTGATGACTAGGGTAAGAACTCAGAATGTGCCATAATTCTGGTCAGTACATAATGGAAAACTGGGTAGGGGGTGGGGTTGAGGTTCCAGGGGGAAGGGTTTTATCCCTGAGGGTACATAAGTTTTTTCCTTATTTCTTGGCTTCACCATCCTCCAGTGAGCAAGATGTGTTTGGAGCTGTGATGGTATTACCCACAATAGTATAGAAAAGCAAGAAAAATACAGAAGAGTTGACCCAGAACCCAGGCTTCACTAAGTCGTGAAAGGTCTGGAGGGAACCAGAGTTACTAGGGCAGAAAAGGCATCTGGGGGCCTCCCTGGTGGCTCAGGCGGTTGAGCGGTTGAGTGCCCCACTGTGAAGCTGTCCACAGCCTCTGCAGTGCAGGTTCGATCCCAGCCTGCTGGGGAGAATCCCACATGGTGCAGCAGCCCTCTCCTGTTTCCCCTGCTGCTCCCCAGCAGTGTATTTCAGCAGATCTGCCTGTTCTGTTCCCCACTCTGTCTCTGGTGAATCCTCTCACCCTCCCGCGCATCTGGCCTGTACCCTGGTTCTGGTATAAATAAATAAAACTTGAAAAAAAAAAAAAGAAAGTCATCTGGTAGGAAGCCCACTTAAGGGCAAGAATGAGGACCTGCTGATACCATCAGAAAACAACTGTTCCTCCTTACCCGCAAGCCCAGTTTCCTTCTTCCCATCCTATAAAAACCTACCATCCCCTGACAATAGGCGCGGCTTCACCAACCCCCACCTGGGGTCTGTAAAGTTTGCCCGGGAACGCAGTGAAGCCCCCTTTTAAATTTATTCTGTTGTCTTCGTCTTTCCTTCCTCATCTTCCCTGCCGAAACTTACAAGTTGCTAAATAAATCTACCCTCTTCTGTATATCTCCAGAGTGATCACATGTGAGCCAGTAAATGACCTATTTCTAAAGCCACTTGGATCAGGTACTTAGTGTCTTGCAACCAAGAAGATCCAGACTAATATAAGGACAAGAGAAAGAATCTGACTGCAGCCTGAAAATAGTCTAAAACCACTTATAACCAGGAGGACAAAAGAACTGGGCTTGAAAGAATATTGCTATGGCAAGGAAAAACAAAGGGATATAATCTGATTTTTTTGTCGATGTTTTCACTTCTTTCCCCTTTCTTAGCAAAATTAAGGAAATGTGACTATGAAGAGATGTTGTTTTCCAAAACACTTCAAAACTTTCACCCTTACTTCTCCATAGTCTGTTTACATCAGTGTTCAGAGGACTTCTTTAAAGATAAAATTCAGATCGTTACTTCTCTGCTTTGAAAGAACATCTCTTCATAGTCACATTCCCTCACTCAATATTAAAGTCAAAGTTCTTTCATGGCTGCAAGTTTTTGGAAAGGTTGGTATGATCTGTCCTGCATTTCCTTACCTCTCTGACCTCAGTTCCTACAACTCTCCCCTTAACTATTTATTCCTTGTAGGGTAAAGTAAAAGGTATCAGGCTTTCCTGCCCTCCCGCCATTAGGATAGATGAAAGAACCCCGCGGTCCTGAATGCATGCCTGATGGCGGGCACCTGGAGTAGGGTGTGGGCATAGGTAGATGGGATTCACCTGGGCTAAGACTGGGCTTTTAAAGGTGGTGTCACGGGGACGCCAGCAGAAGCCGAGAGAGAGAGAAGCAAGAGAAGCAGAAGCTGAGTATAGAGGACAGGACTAGACACAGTGCAGGTTTTCTAGGATCCCATGCAGACCGGGTCAAGGAGGAGTCAGAGTCCTCAGTGGTTTTTTGCAGGTCTTTTATTGGGATTTACCTGGTACACAGCAGGCAGGGGTGCTGGGGGGCCGGGAGGCTGTCAGGCCTCCCAGCCCCCAGCAAGTCTTCATTCTATCTGGGCTCTCCGGCCTACTCTCAGCTTCTGCTTCTCTTCGCTCTGCTTCTGCTGGCATCCCTGTGACGCAGCCCTTAAAAAAGCACAGTCTCAGCCCAGGTGAATCCCATCTACCTATGCCCACACCCTACTCCAGGTGCCCGCCATCAGGCATGCATTCAGGACCTCAAGGATCCATCATCTATCCTGATGGCGGGAGGGCAGAAAAGCCTGACATTTTCTTTACCCTACACTGAGACAAGGCCGGAGAGCCTAGATAGAGTGAAGACTTGCTGGGGGCTGGGAGGCCTGCCAGCCAACCGGCCCCCCAGCTCCCTTGCCTGCTGTGTACTGGGTAAATCCTAATAAAAAGACCTGCAAAAAGCCACAAAGGACTCTGACTCCTCCTTTACCTGGTCTGCTGGGTCAGGAAACCTGCACTGTGTCATTCCTGCCCCTACATTCCTCCATTAGCTACCTTACTGTTTATTCCTCAACCTTGCCAGGTGCATTCTGCCTCAGGACAT